TAAATATATATTCTAAATTTGAACACAATAATTTTCATATGTTATGCTTTTCTAAAAACTTACTACATATAAACCTTAGACACAAGAGTATTTTATTGTTAGGTTTATCAATATTGGAGAAATAATAGAAAGAAGTCTGCACAGTCAGGTGGCTGTGAGGAAAAAGACTGTAAAGCTTTTATCTATTTTCAAAATGAACCACCTACTTTATATTCTAATTTTATCTGTATTTATTAAATTAAATTAATGAAAGCCACGGGGAGAAAAGGTAATAAAGGCGCATTTTGTTTTCCTTTAATAAACCATAATATGTTTAGATTCTTATATTTTCTGACATTTTTTAAAAATTATATCCATTTCAGTCTGCTTAATTTTCAAATGCCAATCCATATAGCTACACATATAGCTATGTGTAACATTCACAAATTTAACATAATATTACTACTTACATGGAAAAATATATCTATTGTTGCATATTTTAAAACATACATCTGTGTAATAATAAATGTCATATGGTTAAGCCGATGAGAACAAAATTAAAGACCTGAGAAAAGTTTATTAATGTTCACTGCTTCAGGTTTCATTTCACATTTAATATTTTATCTCATAATTGATCATATGACACATTTCCTTGTGTATGTAAAATGTAAACAGAAACTGCTGAGCCCAAGTGAGAATAATCATGTCACTTCTAATGCATGGACTGGAAATCCATTACAATATCCTGACATACAAAATTTCTCCTTTACAGCCTTAGATATAAATTTGTCTAATAGCAGAAAAAAATATATAACCTAAGTATTTAAACACAAAAGTACTATTCTTTGATGAGATTTCATGTTTATTTCCTGTGAATATCCATAATTCTTAGTTTTATATTTATACTATTGTATACTTTATATTAAAATCCAATGGGCTCTCAGCCAATTATTGTTGACTGATTGGTATTTTGATGTGACTGAGATAAAAGTTTAATATGAATAGTTATAACTATAATTTTTTTAAATGCACTTGTAGATAGATTCTAAAATTAAGAACAAATTTAAATTAACATTAAAATACTGGCTATCACACATGTAATTCTAAATTTTAAAACAGAACTCTTTTAAAATGTGCCAAGAAATTATTTCTAAAAAATGGGACAAGGACCCTTTTTGAAAGCTACATTTTAAAATACCAATACAAATGTGCATACTATAGCAATAAAAATGATATATTTTCCGTTTACCTATCAACCAATACACATTATGTGGCTGCTACCATAGTACGTATTTATGTTTCACACCTGAGGGAGACAAACATTTCCAAAAGAAACTCCTAACCGAGAGAAATAACTATATTAAAATTTCTTTGTCTAAAAAACACCCTCTATTTTAGTGTTAACTCTTAAAACAGGTTAACTACTCTTTAATCCAAAAAAATATTATATAGAATGTATGCTAAACCAGAGAGCAAAAAATGAAAGAAGATATTTAGACTGACATATTATTTATCATAATAAAATTTAAGCCCTTCATACAAATGTAAATACATTAAAAAAAAACTTTGAATTACTAATTCTAATTGAAGTCCAACTCCAATTAGTGCATAATTAATTTTATAGTGTGTGATGGCATGCTCTTCCTCTTCAGATGATAAACACTTCTTATATTACTTTTCCTCTGAAAAATAAGATTGGCAAAACAACAAAAATATTTACTAATGATACCCAGAGAAATTTATACACAGAAACATAATAATTGCCTTTAGTAACACTACACTCTGTACTCACTTTTTATAAATTTGAAATTTTCCCCAAAGATTTGAGATTTGTCCTGATTGACCAGTACATATGAATTCTTTTCTCAAAAGAAAAGCAAGTGGCACCACATCTTCATGAAAAATACTGCATTTTTTTTAATTTCAGGAAGTTTATTCAGAAATCTAACATGAATTACAAATGTAACCATAAGTTCTTTCCTCAGAAGGCAGTGTTACTAACTTTTCAAATAAAAAACTGAAGATGCAGAAGGCCTCCAAAAATATTGTTAAGATTACCTACAGGAGATTGACTTCGCCCCACAAAACCTTTTATTAAGTATTTCATTCATGAACTAATCAATGTCTCATATAATTTTAAAATATCGAATTTTTATTAAAAAAATTTTCAGATCCTTTCAAAGAAAAGAAATTGTGGTGTCCTACTTCCCATTGTTGTCCACTATTTACACTCTTTCTTGTCTCTAGTAAATTTCTGATCATGAAAATTAAGTAACATAATTTCAGGAAAGCAGAGGTTCCTCTTACAATAAGGATTTTTACATTAATATTTCACCTTAGTATGTTGAGGAATAAAAGGATGTATTTTGTTATAGTTTTCCCCAATGCTATGATGATGTATCCCCCCATAATAAAAATATTGATAAATTGTCGGTTAAAAACAACACTGTAAAAATGAGCAATCGGAACACAGCTGGAAAGTGACAGTTTTTTAAAGAGCCACTTCTTTATTTGGTACAGAATGCAAGCGATTCACTTGAGTTCTCACTTTACAGGCCAAGTAACAAAAAGACTTCAAAACATTAAATGGAAGTGTGATGCCTTAATAAGAGTAAATAATTTTGAAGCATCTTTAGAGTGATTCTTACTCTTTTTATGTTTAAAAATATCCGACTGGAACATCCTGCCAATTAAACGAAGATCTCCAGATGGCATTTACCCTTTTGCTTCATAACAAAAAGGATCTGCAATCAGTTTTATGGAAGATTATCTAAAGAGGAACATTACTGTAAATCAATGACAAAAAAAAAAAAATTAAACACTCCCCTTCTCCAGGCTAGAATGTGCATCCTCCAGATTCTTGCACTGACATCTAATGTAATGAATACTTAAAACTGAATCTTAAATAACAGCCGCAGGCTTTCAACCGGTAAAGATTCACTGTTACTTTCCACCAAAAACTCCAGTGTTCTGCACTCAGCCAACAAAGGACAGCAAATAATTCCCAGCAGCATAAATACCGGGAAAGCTACCTTGGGCTTTGTTTTTGTTATGTAAAATGCATTAAAATGACTCATCCACTTAAGATTACCTACCCTTAGAAGCTTTAAAGAAGCTTCAAGAACCAAAATAAATGCCTTCCCAGAATGCCGGATAGGCTATTCGGCGCATTTTAAAAATATATATGTATATATTTATACATGCCTTTGAGTTAGACCGTATTTTGCTGCCTAGGAGAGGAAAGAATTATTATTTTTCATGCCCTTCCTGTCGTGTGACTGTAGCTACCTACAAGCCCTGTATTTCCAGAACAGCAGCGAGGTTTTTTTTCATTTAAAAGTTATTTTAGAAACGTTAAAAATAAAAGAAAATTGCAGGAGACTGGAAACAGTCCCTCCTTCAAAGAATAGGCTCTATTCATTCGAAGAACAGGGACCGCGTGTCTATCGACACTTAGGTGTTTCAAATAACGGGTTGGATAACGCAGGGAGGCTGGATCGCGTGGTTCCAGTACCTGCGAGCCCCCTGCGTGGACAGCACTCTGGACCGCGGGGAGCAAGCAGGCGTCTAACCCGAAAGGCTGTCAAGTGCATCCAGGAATGTGGGATAAAACGAGTTTGGGCACTATAGCTATTAAAGAGCATCTCGGAAGCCTAATGTGGGAGAAGTCCACGCTACCTCGGCCGGCCTGAAATTACCTATTCGTAAAATAATCAACCAAAACATAACTTTTTATTGAACTGGGTTGGATGAGAGCGGGTGAATTGGCTGGCTGGAAACTTTTTTCCCCAGTACGGCTGCACTCTGAAGTCTAGAGAATCCCTTTAGAGAAGGGCTGAGACGCCGCCGAGTCGTCGTTGGGCGCTTCCCGGGACAGCCGGCCCCTCGCGCCCGGCCCCGCGGAGGCGCCCAAGACGCCGGTTCGGGGCGCATTCCAGCGGCGAGCCGCGCGCACCGCCCGCCTGGCCGGCCTCTCCGCATCCGAGCCTGGCTGCCCGGCCGCTAGCTCCCCACCCCCAAGGGCGGAAAAGCCCCGGGACTCGGGAACCGACCCCCACCCCCGGCTCCCGCGGCAACCTCGGCAGGCGCTCCCCGCCCGGCCCGGCCCCGCCGACTTACGTGACGGCCGAGGGGAACGGCTCCTCCGACGAGGGGCCGATGAGCAAAGATTGGAAAAGTGTCAGAGTCAAGGCCAGCAGGCAGCCAGCAGCCATCTTCGCGATCGAAGATCGATGCCCCCTCCCTGCCCACGCGGGGGAAGAAGCGGCGCTGGAAACCGCGGGCGGAGGAAGAGCAGCACCCGCCGCCGGGACCGCGTGCGTCTGGTGGGCCGGCTGCGCCCGGGGCCCGAGGCGCGGAGCCGCGCGGGGGACTGCGAGGGCGGGAGCGGGCGCCGGTGAAGGGGCGGTGGCGGGCGGACCCACTAGCGCGCGTCGGCTGCTCCGCGCCGCGGCCGCCTTGCCTCCGCCGCCATCAAGGGAGACTTTGGAAACAGACCTCGGCGAGACCGCTGGCGCTCGCGCGCTCTCGCTCTCCCTCTCGGTTTCCTCCCTGATTTATTCCCCCGATTGCCAAGGCGAAGGCGGAGGCGGGGGCGGGAGCGGGGGCGGGGGCAGGGGCGGAGGAGGGGAGTCGGCGCTGGAGGGCGGGGGTGGCTGCAGGAATGGGGGATCGGCAGGCAGAGAGACTTGTGGAAGCGAGAGGCTCCGTCTGGCTTCTCTGGCAAGTCAGAGGGAGGCGGCTGGGGGTGGGCAGCGGGAGGGCTGGGCGTCAGAGCAGTCGGGCGGAGACGGGCCGGGAGCAGCCCTCCTTACAAGGCAGCCGGGAACTCCCAAAGTCCGCGCCGGCTCGCTCCCGCCGCCCGGCGTGCGCAGGGGGAGCGGACCAGCCCCGCAGGGCTCCCGGGGGACCGCCAGCCGCCCTGCGGGCATCCACAGGCTGCAGAGGCTCCAGCCCGGCACTTGGCTCACGTCTTCGGGGGTTATTTTTGCACACTCAGGCAGCGTTCCCCCCAGCCCTACTCCCAGGCGCAGAATCCACTGCCTGCCTAGGAATCGTGTAGTGATTTGACAACAAATGTAGGAGGGGTTTGTATTGCATTTTAAAGCACCGCTGTTGACTCTCTACCAGGTGGCACTATTTGCCCGCGTGTGCCATAGGTTAGAGCCTCTGGCCGGGCTGGCTGCCCATTGTGCCAGCGGCCCCACGCCCAGGTACTGCTCGGCTCACCTGGCGAGGACAGAGCCTCGGGGACCGGGCTGTGGACTGACTGAGAAGTACCGACGCTGTAAAATCTTCCCAGTTCCGTGGTTCCATTGGCCAGAGGTGTGGAGGGACGCATTCTGCATCTAGGGAGGACAGTAGTGAGAAAAGGGCTTTGCGGCATCCCAGTTGGGACAGCCTCCGGAAGGGTCCTAACGCCCTGCTCTGGCCACTGGCCTGCCCAGCCTGACAAGGTTACCGCAGGGTGAGCTCACTGTTGTCAATACGAAGGCATGAAAATGGTAAGCAGCAGGAACAGGTGGCACTCTGCGAAATGCGCCTGAAATGTAGAGGAGGAATTAAGTGGGGGGCGGGGGGAGCGCTAGGGAGTAGCACTGCCGGACTGGTTTTACCTTCAGACTCAGGAGAAGCAGTGGCGGGCTTTCTCCTTGAAAAAACAGGGTCTGCGAATAGGCCTCTCCCGCCCAGCACAGGCCTCCGATCAAGAGGGCCGTGGTGGGCCAAAGGTAGAAATATATCCTTGCACACCTTAAATTCTTAACTCCCTCTAGTAGTGTATAAGAATACTTTTGACATGACGTGCACAGAATACAATTTGTGATGACTGTCCTGCATATGCAAAAATTATGTGAGTATCGGGGTGTCAGATTTTTAATTAGTCGGTTCTTATTTCTAGGAGAAGCTTCTGAAAGAAAAAAGACCCTTATTAATTCGAAATGGATTTTCCAGCTCTCTGAAGGCAATCTCCCAAAACAAAGACTGATGATAATACTACTACTACTATTAATTACTGGCCAAATTTTAAGAGCAGATGTGATTTTATGATGCTTAGCCTGAATTTTTTTTTTCATTCCCACGTATCTCCTTTTTTTTAATGCTTTATTTGTTTTCTTTATGTTCTCTGCATCTCTCTCTTGCTTTTTGTTTCTTTCTTTCTACTCTGAGTGGCCTCACAAAAGGCACCCCACCGTGACTTAACTTAGTTTGTTTTATGCTAGGCATGGAGACTGTGGCAGCAGGAGCTGCGCAAATGAGGGATGAAGTGGAATGTAATGGGATTGAGAACTACAGCTCAGGAGGGATATTTTATGTAATTGAAGATAGCGTTCTACTCCAAAATTAGATAAGCAAATAGTCAAATCCATCATTGCTTCCATTTTTAATAATTCAAAAGCAGACTTTCTTCCCCAGCATGAGGATTAAAAAGAGCAGAATTAGATGCCCATTATTGTCTGTGTGATATGTTGGTATCATAATGGCCTCACTACCTAAAAATATCATTATCATATATTCTGTCAATTATTTCAACATCGACTCCAGACTTCCCACTATGGTACCCTGTTTCCAATTTTATAGCTTTAGGAGAAAGGGCTTAAAGAATAAAAGAATGTAATAAGCTTGTAGAGAGGTAAGTCAGCCTTCATTATTAACTTTGTTGGCCTTTGAGCCAAATCTCAATTTCTTTGGATCACTCTGATGAAGCACTGTGTTCTCCAATATGTGAAGCTGTTGAGGAAAGATATTGCTTCCACAATTCTTACTGAAAGGGTTGGTTATCAACTGTGAGCCTTGATCATTGTTTAATACTCTGTTGTAAGGTTTGCTATTAATTGCTTTTTACCAATCTAAACCTTTGTACTGAAGATATTCAAAATGTGGGTTTTTTTAATGTATGAAAACTGAAAGAAGACCATTTCCATAACATAGCATTATGTTTCTGTAGGATTAACTATAGCCATAACAATGCATTTTTTCAGCTCAGTTCTTTTATTTTGGAAAATCCCCTTAAAATCAGATTACATCCTATTAATCTTAAAATTTTGCTTAATCACAATAAATTTGCTATTCAACATAAAATGTTTACAAATCATAAGGACTGATGTTAAGCTGTTACATTATAGTGAATAGCGTAAATGTGCAGTAAATACAGTAAATATATTACAGGTTATAAATGATTAAGAAGTCGCAAGTCAATATCTACTGTTCATTTAAGAAGAAATATTTTAATTAGAAAGTTGGTGAAGTATTACTGCAGGAGATTTTTGCATTCAATCATTTCTAGAACAAAGCTTAAAGAGATTTAAGTCATGCAAATCACTGACCTTTACCTATGACAAACTTGCGATTGGCATCTTTTGGTTAAATCTTAATTGTTAATTCATATAAATATTTAATTTTTTTCATATACATTTCATTTTTTAGTAACTAAAAACAATAAATACCCTATTGCCATTAAATGGTTATTCTTCATTTTTTAGGTGATACTATGAATATTGGTGGCATAAAATTACGTTTTTATTGTAGTTTTAGATGAGTGAATGTATGTACAAGCATATTTTTCTGTGATTTTTTTTCAGTAAATCAAATTTCTTCAACATTTTGTCGCCAAAAAAGACAAAGTAACCTAATTGAAATTATTTAATCTTTCTCTTTTTTTGTTCTCATGAACCAAAAGAAAATAATTATCCTTAGCCAAAAATAATTCAAAGAAAATAATTAATTTTCATATTTCTTACACATCTTAAGAAAACTAAGGTGAAAACCTTGACAAAGGGCCTTATTTGCTTGTATGCATATAGAAGTATAGACATACTGTTAGAATCATAATCAGAAAAACTTGTGATTTGAGATGGTACTATGCTTCCATGCGCACAAAGATGTGTGCCAGAGAAAGCGAAAATTAAAGACAAATGGACAGAAAGCTTCAACAATCTTATCTCCTCAGGGAATTCTTTCAGGAGACAGAAATACGCAAGAAAGCAATTCAGAAGTATCAATGCCCAGGAGAATGGTTAAGGGCATGTGTAGTGATTTTTAAGTCAGAGTTTATATTCGGTATTTTTAAAGTAAAGTGGCATATTGAAGCCTTCATTTAAAAAAAAAAAAAGAAGCATAGAAAAGAAACTATCCTAAACTAAGAAACATGGTCAAATATTTTCTATAAACAAGACATCTATTTAGAGAAAATTTTTCCTTGGCCCAAGTAATACAGCTATTGAATGACAATTTCTGATGAAAGAAGTACCTTTTCTAAAGAGACACAAAGTAACATTAAACAAGTATTGACTGGAAATTTATTATTTTCCATCAGAGTCCACATACTGTCAAACTTATGCTACTTTAAGTATTTAGGAAAAAGTAGCTCTTATATTTTAAAATACCATCATGTTTTCAAGCAATAACTTCTATATTTTTTGTTTTGAATCTCTGCTAATCTTAGAATTTTTCATTCAATTCCTTTTTCTTGATTTATTTTACTCTTTCCCTTTTTTGCTGTTAAAGAAAAAATAAAAAAATTTTTATTCAGAAAAAAATCAGGTCCTACAATATGACTTCCTATTTAAACAAAACAAAACTCTATTCACCTCTAAAATCTGAATTTCATAGCAAGATCTTTCTTCACTCCATAGAGTTGGAGTCGTGGTTTTCTATTTTGTTTTGTTTTTTGACTGTGACAGCGCAAAAGTATATGGAATCCATTTATGTAAGGCTATGTAGACTAAGGGAAGTAGAGAATTCAGTTTTTTATTCAAATATTCACTAACAATGAAACTGCAATGCGAAGTAATTAATAAGCAGTAGATGGTAAAAACTGAAATAGGAAAAACTAATAACCATTTCCAGTTTTTTTAATTTTATGGATGTAGCCTGTCATGAGAGGGGAAGAGAAAGATCATCTATTTATATTATTTTGCTGATACTAGGGTTTTTGCTTTTGCTTTTGTGTTTGTCTTTTTTAGACAGGGTCTTAATCTGTTGCCCAGGCTGGAGTGCAGTAGTGTGATCTCGACTCACTGCAGCCTCTGCCTCCCAGGTTCAAGTGAGTCTCATGCATCAGCTTCCCAAGTAGCTGGGACTACAGGTGCCCACCACAATACCTGGCTAATTTTTTTTGTATTTTTAGTAGAGTCAGGGTTTCACCATGTTGGTCAGGCTGGTCTCAAACTCCTGACCTCAAGTGATCAGCCCACTTCAGCCTCCCAAAGTTTTGGAATTACAGGCGTGAGCCACCGCGCCGGCCAATACTAAGTTTTTTATATTCATTAAACACAGTAAAACACCTTGTAACCTAGTATTTTTCTATAAGATTTGGATATGTTTTGGATCAAATTTCAAATTCACTTCCTGAATAATATAACTCATTATAGTAGCTACAGATAACATAGTCTATTAGATGGGTGTGCATAGAACCATGCCATATAATGTTGCTAGAGGTTTCTCCCTCTAAATAACAAGTATGGGAGAGAAAATAAGACAGCAGTCATTTTGTTTTTTAGCCACATATTTTAGATTGATATGATTTAAATGCCTACCATTATTACAAAGAATATGTGACTATCTGTCCATACTAGTGAACTTAAAATTCTATATTCTTTTGATAGATGAATAAAATAGGGATGATGTTGTCTTCTATCACAGATGGGAGATATAAACTTTTTAAGTTTTGCATTTGGGAATATTTGATAATCAACATAGAGCAAATATTATCCAGTCATAGTATTTTCTTCAAGATGTACAAGATAGTGGAGTGTAATTCCTAAGGATTCCTGGTAATTTAGGAAAAAAAACTGAGGAATATTGTTATATCTAGCTCATGCTCTATCACATTTTTCATAATCAAATTAATAGCATTTGAACATTTCACACCATTAAAACTAAGGACAGGGATTTTAAACTATTCTGTTCTAAAGACAGCATGTGTTCTATAGAGTTGGAATTCATATATATTGATTTTCTTTTTCTTATCCACAATTCTTTATATTTTATTCTAGGGTGATCCATTCTTTAATAATATGGTTCTCTCAGAATGTCCATAGCTATCTAGAAAAAGAGAACTGATTTAATAAATTTGCCAACCCAGGTAAAGATGGTCCAAACAAAAACAGTAAACTGGGTCTTGAGTTTCAAGTGGAGTGTTTTTATTACCTGGATGTTGCTACAAGCCTTTCTGTTACACAGAGCTCTACCTTTTGCCAAGATGTTCATTTTTGTGAACATATTTTATACTATCAAGATACTGGCCGATTAATATTTAGTTAGTTTAAACCAAAAAACCAAATGCATAACTTTAAGATATCACAGAACTCCAAGGAGCGATATTTGTTTATTATATTCAATAACATTTAATAATTTAGCTGTCATTAATGATGATCTTAACTTTAATTGTGTCATTTCACATATGATTAGCAGTCATTACTTGTAATAAGAGCAAGCATGTTTTGGTTGGGTGGACTGTGTGTATATTCAGTCACCTTGTGTTTTCTCTGTTAGTATCAGAAAATTCCTCATATCCAAGACCTAATGCTTTCCAAATGACTATTAGAGTACTTTCAGATTTTGTATGCTTTTGGGTTAAATATACATCTGCTTTAAACTTCATATCTATTTCTCAAAATATATAAAACTTTCCCCTTTCAGAAACAACAATATTTATCAAAAATGAGCTGTCACCATAAACCTAGTTACAACACCGTGTCCACACTTCAATTCAAGCACTAACGTCAGTGTTCAGGGACAGAACCCAGTTCTGCTGTTTCTCCTTTTCTTCCCCAAGTTAACCAGCCAGCTCACCCGCCCCTTCTCCACCCCTTCTTTTGATCTTTTTCTTCTTCAACAGGCAATAGTTGTCTTTAACATATTACCAAAGGAGAGACTTCTGGTTTTTTTTTTTTTTTTTTTAGTAGTAAAGAGAAAAGGAAGTAGAAAAGTAGAGAAAGCAAAGAGAAATTATCTAGAGGAGAAAAATATGGATACATGAAGGAAGAAACAATATGAAAGAAAGGATGAGTTTGTTCCTATAACACAGACAAGCACAACGCAAAAAAGAATGAGAGAAACCAGAGATGAGAAATGTCAAGGCCAAAATTGCTTGAAAGAAGACAAAAGAGTAGGGCAACTCAATTTACTTCAATATTCAATCAACTGAAATTTGTGTTGCTAAGCAAATGCATAATCTTCAATGTCTCATGATTTTACAAGAAATATAGTCAAGTTTTTTTTTCTAATTTAAAAGTAAAACAGATTACATGATGTTAATATTTAAAAAAACAAAAAACACTTGCCTCTTTTTTTCTTCTTCTTTTTTGTTTTGAGACAGGGTCTCACTCTGTCTCCCAGTCTGGAGTGCAGTGGCATGACCTACGCTCACTACAGCCTCAACCTCCTACGCTCAGGCGATCCCCCAATCTCGACCTCTGGGGTAGCTGAGACTACAGGCACACACCACTGCACCCATTTAATTTTTCTTTTCTTTTTTTTTTTTTTTTTTTTTTTTTTTGGAGAAACTGGGTTTTGCCATGTTGGCCAGGCTAGTCTCAAACTCCTGGCTTCTAGTGATCCACCTGCCTTGGTCTCCCAACATACTAGGATTACAGGCGTGAGCCACCGTGCTTGGCCTTTAACCACTTTTTTAAGTAGAAAAAGTAAATGATATTTAAAGCATTACGTTAGATACAACTACTATAACATAAAGTTTGCAAATTCCCTATGCCTCCAATGTTAGTTGCAAATAGTTACAAATCTAATCAGTTGACATTAGAATATTTGTATGAACTAGGAAAAACATCATCCTCTATTTCATATAAAGTACTGATTTGTATATGCCAAACTTTTTTTAGTAAATTACTCATGAACTTTAATTAACCTACATTTTAAAAATTTTCAAACTTCAGAACCACTTTTTTCTTCCTATACCTTTTTTCAGAAAAAATTCACAAACAATAGGAAAGTGTAAATGGGATTACAGAAAAGGGCAACAATGACTTAGCTGCTTCAGTGATTTTGTTCTCACCTGAAAACCTGTTGACATTTAAAAAATGTTCAGGATCCCTGGACTATGTCATCTGTCTTGGGTTCCTTCCCATGTCTTACATCAGTTTGTTCTTAATAAGAAAACTTGAACTTACTCATATTTTAGGTTTGTATCAAATACTCAAATTACTGATCTCAGATTTAATGTTGGCTCTTAAAATTAATCATTACACAAACTCCTCCATAACTAAGGATAACTATGTTAGCATACAGTGGTATGTTAGACACAGGCCTTAGCTATGGGATTTATCAAAGAGCAGACCTAGGATTTGAGCCCAGGCACACTCCCTTGGGTACCCTGACTGTGAACCTCTGTGCCACATGGTCTTTCTGCTCTGAATATTTAGTAGTTCAGAGATTTAGGCAGAGTTACTTAGCCTTCCTGAGTCTCAGTTTTTAATTTTCTAAAAATGGAAATAATGCTGTAATAGAGTTTTTTCCAATTTGTCTTTTTAACAAATTGATATATTGTGTGTGTATATATACACACTATATATCAAGCTTTATTGATATATATAATTGATATATTGCATATCAATTCCCCCATTTAAAGTGTACATCCTAATGACTTTTAGTATTATACAAAGATTTTCGCTCCTATTTAAAAAGATCAACCATTAAATATTTAAACTGGGATTGGATTTGATGAGACCTACATGTATTGGCTTTGTAGACATGATGTGCCAAATAGCAGTTCAATTTTAACATTAATGTTGGACAAACTTTAATGACTTTGACCCTTAAGTCTTACTAACTCCTAATGACAGTGTTTTTCCATATATAAAACCTTAGTCTCTCTTCTTTACATTGTCCATGTTAAGCACGTAATCACTATTTAAAAGCTTGTATTTAAAAATACTACTCATTTAGATCTCACATGATTCATACAAAAACAATAAAATTATAATTTAGATTGGCACTTGTACCTATGTTTGTATTTGTATCATTTATGTATATATATGGAGTTTATATTGTCATCTTTTTACTTGTACAATGAAAATGGTATTTACGACATTGAAGTATGTGAAGCTGTAAATGGCATTTGCATTTATAAGATACATCAACTCTGCTTCTACATTTAATCACTGGCTAGAGCTATTTATTGCTTCATGTACTGTTCTTCCATAAACAGCAGTACTGTAGGACAACTTTCTCTACTGAATCTTTTTTCCCTTTTAATGTAGATCAGAAAAACAGAAACATTTCATAGAAATGAAACATTGTCACCTTGATCAAGTAAATAAGCTTTAAAAAATTAAATTTGGAAATATCTGGAAAATCAAATCAATAAAATCTATAAGTAAACACATTTCATTATGGTATTTCTACAGATATGTGAAAATATGTGTCATTTTATTTCTCAATTAGATATTAAAACAGCTACCTGATTTTTGTGCTTTCTGGAGATAATTCTTTAAAATGTAAGTATAATACATTTTGAAAACTACAATAGTAACAGTAATCAACACAATCAACAACTTATATCTGTTTCAAATGACTATTTTTATATCTGTGTTTTGAAACAGGATGTATTTTCTCATGTAGATTTTAATTAGGAAACTGAGCATTCATTTGAATTTCTACTTAGTTTCAATCACCGGTTCTAGAATCACCACCTGTAATCATGGTGTCTAAAGAACTTTAAATAATATGTAAATTAATAATCTTGGAAATAGCACTTGATTGATGTGGGCTGATGGCCATTTATTGTCATTAATAGCCTAAGGGTGATTTACTGTATTTCATTAAGAAAAAAAGCCAAACTCTGTTTTACACAGGTAGCACATTTGTAAATGCATAGTAGAAACCGAAAGAGCCCATCATATTGCCTGATGCAAACAAGAAATTTAGTTTGTGTATCTTCTTTTCTTTCTTTCTTTCTTTTTTTTTCTTTTTTTTTGAGACAGAATCTTGCTCTGTTGCCCAGGTTGGAGTCTGTGGCATGTTCTTAGCTCACTGCAACCTTTGCCTCCCATGGGTTCAAGCAATTCTCTCACCTCAGCCTCCTGAGTAGCTGGTTTTACAAGTGTGTGCCACCACACTCAGCTAATTTTTGTATTTTTTAGTAGAAACAGGTTTTTGCCATGTTGGCCAAGCTGGTTTTGAACTCCTGGCCTCAAGTGATCTGTCCACCTTGGTCTCCCAAAGTGCTGGGATTATAGGCATGAGCCACCATGCCCGGTCTTACTTGTATTATCTTTATTCATTCATTTATACATTTACTCTTTCAGTCAGCCACCTATTCATTTTGGATTAATTAGTCATTTGTTGCTAATATACTAAGAGCCAAATATTCTGATAGGAATCATGTGCTTCATAAAGTTCCATGTATTTCTACATGCTAACCACAGATTGGGTTTCATGTGTGTGTTTATATGTTGTATGTAAATCTTTATATGAAACAACTTATTATCTATTCTTAAGATGTGATGCCCTTCGTTATTAAAAAAAGTTTTAAACTTGAAACTTGTGTCCAGAATTCCAAGTCAAGAATCCTTGTAAGTTATATTGCTTGAGAGAATGTAAAATGTGATAGCTGCTTTGGAATAGCTTAAATGTAGAGTTATCATGTGACTTAGCAACTCAACTCCTAGATATTTACACAGGAGAGATAAAAACACGGGTTTACAAAAATATCTACATGAAATATTAATAACAAAAATATTAATAACAGTAGAAACAGGCCAAATGTTCATCAGTTGATGAGCAGCTAAATAAAATTGGTGTATTCATTCAATGGAATATTATTCGGCAATAAAAATGAATGAATTACTGATACATGCTACAACACAAATGAACCTTCAAAACATGTCAAGTGAAAGAAGCCACTCATGAACGATTACATATTGTATAATTCTATTTATATGAAATATCCAAATTAGGCAAATCTATAGAGAAGAAAGTCGATGAGTGTTTGCCTAGGATGGGTGGGGAAATGTTAGGGGAAATGGGGAGTGATTGCCAATAGGTATGGGGTTTCTTTGGGGAATAATAATACTTTCTAAGATTGATAGTGGTGATGGTTGCATAACTTTGTAAATATACTAAAAGCATTGAGTCATACACCTTAAATGCATAATGCAATTACTAGACTGCAAATCTAGACAATGTTGCCTTTTTTCAAGTACCTGGGCCATAGTAGGTACTTGAAATAATGTATAATGTATACACAATAAATGTATAATGAAAGGAAAAAAGATAAGTAAATAAGCCAGAAGCATTATATGCAAGAGAAATTAACCAAAATTTGGTATTGGGACTGTTTAAAGTAAACTCAACATAACTGAAATGAATTCTCATTATCCTCCTAAGAGCCAAGATTGATTGCTGGGAGGGGTAGATTTGTAAAGATGGGGGCTTGTCTAATCTACCCAGTTTCAAAGGACTTATTCAGCACCAGAAAAGTGAGTCAGAGGCTGGGCTGAGTGCTGCTGGTAGAAGACGACAGGAAAAGGCTTTAGTTGTAACTTTGAAGCTACAGTGCCACTCATACATATTAGTGGTTCTCTAGCTTGAACATGTATTATAAACACCTTGAAGACCTGTGGAAACACAGATGACTAGTGCCCCAACCCTGAAGCCCTGATTTCGTAGGTTTAGGTGGGGCCCAAGAATTTACATGTCTAATAAATTTGAAAGTAATACTGATACTGCTAGTCAGGGGACTACACTTTAAGCACAACTTGCATATATGTATGTTATTAATAAAATAAACATTTATGAATGGGATATGATGGGGGTTGGGCTAGAAAAAAGAAAAAGACATAAAAGGAAAGAATACACTGAATACAAGTTTGTTTGTAATTCAATAAACAAATTCAGAGCAAAGCCTCTGACACTGCAGATCATCTTGACACATGGTGAGAATGGTGATTCAGTGAAGTGAGATTTAGCATCAGGTATTACTGTTAACACCAATTTCTGAGTTAAGTCCCCTGTCAGGTCTGCTGCCCACTGTCATGTATAAAGGCCACTGATACTGACATATGCCAAAAATAGCTCCAGCAACATGGGAAGCCAAGTTGGAAGTCTACTCTTCAGTGTTAGAATCAGAGCATGTCAAAGACCACATTCTTCCCAAGACATGTACCCCTCAAGGCCATCTTCTTCCTCCACTTAGTTTAAAACTCTATTATCAATGTTATTATGTTGGGTTGGCCTTATTATGTTGAATATTATGTTACTCTATTTTCAACATTATTCTGTTGGGTGCATTCAAATGGACAAACCATCTGGGCAGAAGCATCTCCCCCATAAACATAAATATCCATTTGCCATTATCAAGAATCAGTTTATCACCTGGGAAAGAGATTTCCAGCCGCTGTTAAACCAAGTTATTTTGGTTCTGGTAAGAAAATCAGTATTGATTTTATTCAGTGCAAATATTTCACTCTAAAATTGAATTATTAGGATATATTATTTAACTTACTATGCAAATCAATTAGAAAAACAATCAGCAAGAAAATGTTATGAGTACTTTAAAAACAGTTTTGGATTGTTTCATCTATTTTATGTGATGTTAAAGGATCATTTTATCCATTTTGATGATTTCCAGTAAGATTGAGCTTCATATGGGTCACAGAATCCTTTCAGAGAGAAAAAGCAAAAAAAATAAGCAAAACTATTTTGGTTAAAAATAGAAAATGGTCAGGCCAGAAGCGGTGGCTCACTCCTGTAATCCCAGCTACTCAGGAGGGTGGGAAAGGAGAATTGCCTGAACCCAGGAGGTGGAGGTTGCGGTGAGCCGAGATTGCGCCATTACACTCCAGCCTGGGAAACAAGAGCGAAACTCCATCTCAAAAAAAAAAAAAAAAAAATTTCAGCACTTTGGGAGGCTGAGACGGGCAGATCACGAGGTCAAGAGATCAAGACCATCCTGGCCAACATAGTGAAACTCTGTCTCTACTAAAATACAAAAATCAGCTGGGTGTGGTGGCACGTGCCTGTAGTCCCAGCTATTCGGGAGGCTGAGGCAGGAAAATTGCTTGAACCCAGGAGGTGGAGGTTGCAGTGAGCCAAGATCATACCATTGCACTCCAGCCTGGTGCCTAGCAAAAGAGTGAGACTTTAAAAAAAAAATAGGAAATGGTCTTAGGGCCTTGAGCAGAAAAGTAATCTGGGTACTTCAAAGAAAATGTGGTATGGAAAGAAAAATAATTCAATAGAGTAAGTGTAGAATTCTAATTCAGTCTTCCTCTTCTTTTTATTTTTTACTTTTTTTTTTTTTTTTTTTGCCATAGGGTCTCACTGTGTTGCCCACATTGGAGTGCAGTTGTGCGAACACAGATCACTGCAGCCTCAAACTCCTGGGTTCAAGTGATCCTCCAGCCTCGGGCCCTGAAGCAGTTGGGACTACAAGTGCACAGTACCACACCCAGCTAATTTTTGGGTATTTTTTTTGTAGAGACAGGGTTTCACCATTTTGCTCAGCCTTGTCTCAAACTCCTGAGCTCAAGGGATCTACCCACCCCACCCTCCCAAAGTGCTGGGATTACAGGCAGGAGCCACTGCGTTTAGCCCTACTTCTAAGTCTCTAAATTTCCCAGGGAAATCTGTATTGTCTGGAGACAGATGCTTTAATTCATTATTTCTCTTATGTCAACTAATATGCATAAACAGGAGCACCAGCGCAGACTGCCACTGGAAAATGCATGGCTTGGGTTACTGTAACATTTGTGATTTTCATTTAGAATTTTGTAAACATAATGACTTTTGAAAACCATTTCCAAAGCCTCATATATATGCAATATTTTACTTTAGAAGAAACAGTGCATCGTGTCTGTACATATTAGATAATTCTCTATTACTTTCAGAATCAGATTATGTGAACTAGCAAGCCGATTATTGGGTTTAAATTAAAGTATAATCAACATTATTAAACTACCTTGATACTTTTAAGGAAATCAAGCCTCTGAAATTACATACCTACTTTAGTAATAATTTATAAACCCAAATAGGTTAATTCTTGTCATGATATGCTCAATATTTTCCAAGTGTTGTCACCCATATAATTTGGTTCTAATTATACCACTCTTATATAAAACTGTTGCCAACAGTCATATGGTTTTACATTTTTTCTCATTAATACAAAATAGTTCCATTCTTGGAGGTAATTTGACAAGATTAAATTCACACATGCCTTAATGTAACGAAGACCCTTAAAAATAAAAATTGATTGAGGATCATACTAAATTATATCAAACAATGTACTTTACCTAGTACTTACCTTTAAAGGAATATTCAACAAACTTTTGAACAAAATAGGCAAATAATATTTCTGTACCTAAATAGCTACACATTTTAGCACTGATTAATATAGTCTCAGAACTAATTATGCACTCATGCTATGTTTATAAATTTTGATGTCTTAATAGGGGGAAAATGAACCCATTCTAAAGGATTTAAATTTTTTTTAAGTTGAGATATTTTTCTGATTATGTAAGTAATTCTTTATTAGGTTAACATTGATTTATTTAATAAATAAACCCTTAAACATGAATGGCATAACATAGAAAAAAAATTGGTTTTGCTTACTTAATAGTCCAATACAGGCTTGCTTGATGGCAGGCAGATTACTTCTAGTGGTAATTCAAGGATCCAGGCTATTTTCTTCTTCTGGCTCCTCTGTCTCCAGGGCCTTAGCATTCTTTGCATCCAAATAAAAGAAGAATGGGGGACTGGACAAGGAATATCTACTTCTTGATGGCTTGAAACATATCACTTCTACTCTGATTCTCTGGAGGTAAACCACCCAGTCATATAACCTCATCTAAATGCAAATAGAGGTTGACAAATGAGATTCCTGCCTGGGTAGTAACTTCCCATAAATTTTGATGGCAAGTTTGTTTTCTCTGCCACAGACTATCCTCTGACCACCATATGTCGGTGCTTCTTTCTTCCCTCACACAGAACATTCTTCTTCCTTCTAAGCTAAGTTCCTATCCCATCTGTATTATGTTAGTCCATACTCACATTGCTATAAAGAACCACCTGAGACTAAAAAAAAAAAAGGTTTAATTGACTCACAGTTCCACAGGGTCTATTGGAAGCATGGTTGGAAGGACTCAGGAAACTTATAATCATGGTGGAAAGTGAAGGAGAAGCAAGCATATCTTAACGAGGATCCCCATCTTCTTACCAAAGATTCCCCATCTTCTTACCAAAGATGTGCTTACACCTTTTTAAAAAACCAGATCTCATGAGAACTCACTCACAAGACAGTAAGGGGAAAATCTGCCCCCATGATCCAATCACCTCCCACCAATCGCTCCCCCAACATTGGGAATTATAATCCAAGATGATTTCTAATTTGATTTGGGTAGGGACACAGAGCCAAACAATATCACCATCACTCTATCCAGCTGCCTGTCCAGGATCCCTACACACAATGCACAGTTCTCGCTACTTTATCCAAATAGGGCCCAGAACAGTCCTGTGACATCTAAAGAAAAAGTTTCCTGCCCGTTCCCTTACTACACACTTGCAGTATAAAAGTTGGACAGTGAAAAGATTGCTGCCACAACTCTCATTCGCAAAAGAACCAATGGTATATAAATACAAAATTTACTGTTTCTCAGCAATGACAACATTTTTCTGTTCAGATGTAATGAGGAAAACTTAACTTTGAAGAAGTTCTGCAAAACCTTGACTTATCTCCTTATTACTTTTGATGGCCTCCGGTTTCAATTTATTGGAGGTGTGTCTCTGTCTATTATCCTCTGTAACTGTATCTAAAGTGAACAGTGAAGAATATTCCCACTCTAGTGGGTAAAACAGTAGTCCCCTCACAACAGTTTACATCTGAATCCTTAGTGTGCCAACCTACCCAGTGTTAGCCAGACACACTCAATTTTGCTTAGAGCCAGACAGCCTTCATCTTAACCTCCACCTCACCCCTCCTACTATTTCTCCCTTAAGAGCACACCTGGGTCTTGCTACTGTGCTGGGTCATGCTGTACTTAGAACTATAAAAACATATAATACTTGAAATCATATCCTGCTTGGCAAGCCCACTTGCTATTGTGAATGCTCCCCCTTAATTATATAACAAGTACCAAATACCCCCCTTGGTAACCAACAATCATGGGAACCTCTTGTGTATACCCTCCTTGGAAATCAACAATCATAAAAACCTCCTGCCTCCTAGTTACCAGCCTCCTTATGTACCTTGCTTGTTCTGCTTCTTTAAATTCTGCTTCAGCTAGGCTCCCCCTCCCCTACCTTAAGCAAGGTATAAAAAGGAGTCCAGCCCCTTCCTTAGGGCTGAGAAAATTTTAAGCATTAGCCACCTCTCAGTGGCTGGCTAATTAATGAAAAACTCTCACTTCAAACTCAAAGCATTGCGCTGTTTCATCTAACTCACCTGGGTATAACATTAGCACCAGTGAATGTGTCATATCGTATAACAAGGGAAAATTAGGATCGTAGATGGATGTAGGATTATAGATGGATGTAGGATTGCTACCTGACCTTGAGATGGGGATATAATTCTGGATTGTCTGGGTGGGATGGGATCCTTTTAGGTGGAAAAGAGAGGCAGGAAAGTCAGCATAGAATGATGCAGCATGAAAAAGACTGGACTTCCATCGCTGGCATCTAAGATGAAAAGGTCCCAAGCTAAGAAATGCAATGTTGTTTAGATGCTGTGAAGGACAAGGAAACAGATTCTCTCCAGAGCCTCCAGAAGGTGTGTAGCCCTGCTGATATTTTGATTTTCACTATTTTGGATTTCTGACCTCCTGAACTAAAAGATAATACATTGGAGTTGTTTAAAACCACCATATTTTCAGTGATTTATAATAGCAGCACCAATAGGAAACTAATGAGTCTTTTTTTTAAGGCCAGGCTCATGTTTTGTTTAGTTCTTAACAATAGAATTATCTTAAAATTTAAAGCAGGGGTGTCCAATCTTTTGGCTTCCCTGAGCCACACTGGAAAAAGGAGAATTGTCTTCTTGGGCCACACAAAAATACACTAACACTAACAATAGCTGATGAGTTTTTAAAAATCGCAAAAAAACTCATAATGTTTTTAAAAAGTTTACGCTTTTTTGTTGGGCCACATTAGAAGCTGTCCTGGGCCACATGCAGCCCATGTGCCATGGGTTGGACATGCTTGATTTAGAGGCTTCTGATTACTTTTGTCAGTACGAAGTTATAATAACCATACTCAAAATTCTTCCCTACACATAATATTCAACTTGGCTTCAGGAGTTTTCTCTTACTATCCTTTCTCTCTTTTTGATATTAGCTGCTGTAGGGCTAAGCTGAAAATATAAGCTTATTTGGGAATGAAACACTTTTAAACTAATGTCTACCACAGGGTTCAGTTTTTATCCCATTCTTACATGAGCCTTTCTGTTGTAACACTTCATTAAGTCAAACAAGAATGAAGCAACTCACAGTGTCTTCATTATAGATTTTTTTTGTAACTCTTTCTTTAGACAGAGTTATGAGTTTGGTAGTGATGTCATTGGCTTATTAAGTTCCGCTGGTGACAATTTGACCAAATGTTTTGACAATTCATAACATGCTTCTCTAACTTTCTGGTCTGTTACATCAATTTATGTGCAGACTGTCTCCTGACCATTGAACCACTACCACATACTTTAGGTTTTTGTTCGAATAGCACTCAGTTCAAGGAATTAATTTCTGTATTAGTTTGAGAATACAGAAATTGTTACAGATAAATTGTTACAGATAAACTTGTGTGTTTCAATGGCTCAACAAAATGGGCATTTATTTTTCCCTCTATTAATAGGATGATGGGAAGATACATCCAGGTGTTTGTTATGCTAAAGCATAGCAAAATTTTCAATAGTTTCTCCATGCTGGGGAGACAAAGGTCCATGCTGGACCTTTAATGAAAAGAACTAACACATACATTTAAAAGCCCTAGAGTGGCAGAGTGCAGTGGCTTATACCTGTAATCCCAGCCCTGTGAGAGGCTGAGGTGGGTGGTAACTTGAGGCCTGGAGTTCGAGACCAGTTTGGCCAACATGGCAGAATCCTGTCTTTTCTAAAAATACAAAAATTAGCCTGGCATGGTGGCATGCACTTATAGTCTCAGCTACGTGAGAGACTGAGGCATGAGAATCACATGAACCCAGGAGGTGGAGATAGCCGTGAGGCGAGATCGCACCACTGCACTCAAGCATGGACAATAGAGCAAGACTTTGTTTCAAAAAATAAAATAAAATAAAAGGCCTATAGTGTATGCCCTCAGCAAAGAAGAAATCCAAGAGCAGACAAAATAATATCAAAACCTTAATTGATCATGGAAGTCACTGATCATGGAAAAAAGATTCCATCAATCCTGTGGCCCTAGGAAATCTCACACACACACACACAAGCACAAACATACATGCACATGCATACCAAGTACAATGGTCCCTATCTTCGGGGACCTTAAAATCTGGTTGAGAAAAAGGATTAAGTAAATAACCCAATTAAGTACAGAAATTGAGAGGTGCTATAAAGAAAAGTATAGGTACTAGGAAACAGTTCAACAGCAAAACTTAATATGATTGAAGAATTAGTAAATTGTTTCTTGAATAAAGATTTCCAGAAGAGGAATAACAGTGAGGCGAAGAGTGGGGTAAAAAAACATTCCAATAAAAGAAAAATCATGTGAAGCTGAGCAGATTTTTTATTATGATCAAATGAGTTAGCTTGCAGCAGACCAAAGTTTATTTTGAGAACAACTAGAAACGTCACATAAAATATTTAAAGGCATCAAAGTTCTGCTAACTCAATGAAGGTAAAGGGTCCAGACTTTTGGAGAAAGAACTATAAAGAAGTGAGCTAACGTTCCTAAGCAAAGTTCTGAGAATATGGCTTTGCCTGGGCAAAAGGTCACTGCTAGAGGAAAGAGATATCAGGAGAGATTTCAGTGGTCTTACAAGGCTGAAATAAAAGAAAAAAACAAAAGAAGGAAACCTGTGGGACAAAGATCCTGAGAGAAGAGAGCCTTGGAGAATTGTACCAGACACATGGTCAATTTAACAGGTTAAGAAGAAAGTTTCTGAAAAGCATAGCAAAATTTTTTTTTTTAAAGGCTCGTTTTATTTTAATGGCTGATCTATGTAATCACGGAGGCCAGTATGTACAGACAAAGGGGGAGCTTTTATTTCTTGGTCTCTTCCTCCTTGGACAAAGTTTTGATGATCTCCTCCTTTTTGGCCTGGAGGCGCTCTTCACGGCGCTTTCGTGCTTCCTTGGTCTTAGACCTGCGGGCCTCAGCCTGGTCAGCCAGGAGCTTCTTGCGGGCCTTGTCTGCCTTCAGCTTGTGGATGTGTTCCATGAGAATCCGCTTGTTTTTGAACACATTCCCCTTCACCTTCAGGTACAGGCTGTGATACATGTGGCGATCAATTTTCTTAGATTCCCGGTATCTTCTGAGCAGCCGGCGCAGAATCTCATTCTCCTCATCCACGTGACCTTCTCTGGCATTCGGGCATTGGCTGTACCCTTACGCTTACCTATGTCCATGTGCCTGCCCTTCCGGCGGGCCAAGGTGTTTTTCCGGCAGCGAGCCCGGGAATGGACCGTCACAGGCTTTCGGATGATCAGCCCATCTTTGATCAGCTTCCGGATCTGCTGACGCGAGTTAGCATTGGCGATTTCATTGGTCTCATTCGGATCCAACCAGACCTTCTTCTTGCCACAGCGGAGGACACTAGAGGCGAGCCTCTTCTGAAGCCTGAGCATACTCATGGCTGCCGCAAAATTTTTAATAGTTTTGCCATGGTCGGGGAACAGAATTGGAGTCCTAGACCTTTCGTGAAAAGAGCTAAGACATACTTTTAAAAGCCCTAGTGTTACCAGCGGGGGGTCTTGACTATGAGTTGTCCAGGTTCTTGGCATTTTGAACAAAGAATTGGACAAAATGCACAAAGCAATGAAAGCACAGATTTATTTAAAGAGAGGTACACTCCATAGAGTGGGAATGGACTCAAGCAAGTGGCTCAAGAACACTGGTTACAAAATTTTTAGGGGTTAAATACCCTTTAGAGGTTTCCCATGGATTACTTGGTTTACACCCTATGTAAATGAAGGAGTTGCCCATGACCAGTCTGATTGGTTGTAGAAGGCAACCAATCAGAGGCTGAAGTGAAGTTACAAAGTTGCACCGTACGCAAACATCTGATTGGTTGTGGGAAGGGACAAATCAGAGGCTGAAGTGACGTTACAAAGTTACACCCCTTTGCAAATGAAGACTAGCCCCTGGACCAGACTGATTGGATGCAGGAGGGGACCCGTCAGAGGTGTTTTCTATTTCTCATCTGCCATGCAGAAAAGGGAAGGGTTGCAAGGCAGATACACTCTGTTCTTTTGTTCCTTGGGTGTGGAAAGTTGGGGTTTTCTTTTTTATTTACTTCTAGAAAGTCAAAATGAATCAGCCTTAGGTTTCCTGCTTCCTGATTCTATTCTTCTGACTCCCTAGAGTGTATGCCCTCAGCAAAAAAGAAATCCAGAAGTAGACTAAATATTTTCAAAATCTTAACCCAGAATTTACTGATCATACTTAGGACATCAGCCTCAGTATATCTTCCTTGAGAAAGAAAGGATAGGATAATATAATTTGAAACCTCTATTGATTTTGTATGTCTAATGTCTAGCAGTTAGTCACACATTCTAAACATGCCAAAAATCAGAATTATACAATCAAACATTTAGAAAACATAAGAAAACAAAATAGACTTACAGGAATATTAGTGAAAATAGCAGACAAGGATATCAAAATAATTGTCATTAAGATGTTCAAAAAACGAGACAAAAATATGGACCAAAAATAAAAAGGAGGAAAATTTAGCCAGAGAGTGGAAAACTATTTTTAAAAATCTAATAGAACTTTTAGGGCTAAAGAAATAGCTATATTTAACAGCAGATAGGCCTTGCAAAAGAGTAGGAAATTTGAATATATGTCTATTGAAAACATACAATACTATACTATGGAAAGAAAAAAAAGAAAAATACAGAAAAGCATGTGATAAACCTGTTGGAAAGAATGAAAACGTCTAACATATGTGTAATTGGTGTCTTGAAAAGAGATGAGAGAGAATGGCACAGCAGTGGAGAGAATGGTTGAGAATTTCTAAAACTGATGAAAGATGCCAGGTCAGAAATTTGGGAAGTACTGTAAAATTCACTATAAATAAAGAGTGAACCACACTCAAGCCCATTATAGTTGACTGCTAAATATCAGAAACAATGAGACAATTTTGAAGATAGTTCCAAGGAAAAAAATGGCCAGACAAGTAAGAACTTGTCAAATTCAAGAAAAATACATTTAACAACCAGTGCTATTAGACTTCAGTTAATAATAAAATAAGGACAATTATAATAATAATAAGAGGAATGATTCAAAATAAGACTGCAAAAGGAAGAAATAGGCAAAGTTATTCAGAATCTTGGAGATCATATTTAGGATTTTAGATTTTATCTTCAGTTAATGAAAAGCTTTAGGGGACTTAAGGAAATGACATGATCAAATATGCATAATTAAAAGCTTATCTTTGCAATTCTGAGGAGAATGGATGGGGATTGGGGGAAGAAGAAGAGTGGGAGACCAGGAATCTGGTCACCATAACTAGGAGTAAAAGGTATTAAAACACAACAGAAGAACATTTGGTATAACTATGACCCAAGTTCAGAGAACCACCACAAGCAAGGCTGATTTGATCCTCTCTACATGTTAAGTGAGATCCTTGTAAAAATATAATACCTCCAACCAGTGATTATTGGAATATAGACAAGACTGAAATTACTGGACAAGGTCCAATGATCAGTGATCAAATTTATAGAGTCTCCACTCTACTGCCCAGGCTGGAATGCAGTGGCACAATTATAGCTCAGTGCAACCTTGAACTCCTGGGCTCAAGTGATCCTCCTGCCACAGCCTCCTAAGTAGCTGGGACAATAGGTGTACACCACCACACTGGGCTAATTTTTTGATTGTAGAGATGAAGTCTTACTGTATCGCCTAGGCTGGTCTGGAACATAGGCCCAAGCATAGGCTCAAGTGATTCTCCCACCTTGATCTTCCAAAGTGCTGGGATTACAGGCATGAGCCATCACACTCAGCTTTCAGTGATCAAATCTGTGGGTATCTGAAGTTTGCCCAGGTGAGGACCTGGGAATTTGATACTGCTCATATACACTGAAACAATATTTTGTCCTTCGTTGTGGACAAATCCAGATAATGTTAGAAAAGTTGATGCTGCACATAGTCATAATAGGGGTAAAACATTTTAACTGCGGTGGCAAAAGAGAAGGAAACTAATAATTGTCAAGCACTTACTAGTATCAGGCACTGTGTTGTATGTTTTATATATTTCATCTCACTGAATTGTCAAAACCTTCTTGTAAAGAGATCTTATTCCCTTTAAACAAGTAAGAAAATTGAAGGTAAATTTAACTAAATTGTTGAGAGCCAAAGAGAAATTACGAAACTTGTTTAAGAAAGCACAGCTGGCCGGGTGCGGTGGCTCACGCCTATAATCCCAGCCCTTTGGGAGGCCGAGGCGGGTGGATCACGAGGTCATCAGATCGAGACCATCCTGGTCAACAAGGTGAAACCCCGTCTCTACTAAAAATACAAAAATTAGCTGGGCATGGTGGTGCGTGCCTGTAGTCCCAACTACTCGGGAGGCTGAGGCAGGAGAATTGCTTGAACCCAGAGGGCAGAGGTTGCGGTGAGCTGAGATTGTGCCATTGCACTCCAGTCTGGGTAACAACAGCAAAACTCCACCTCAAAAAAAAAAAAAAAAACAAAAAACGGAAAGCACAGCTACTAAACAGCAGCTGGAAATAAATCAAGGTCACTGATTTGAAGTCTGTGATGCTTCTGCTATAGCCTTGCTCTGGAAAACCCTTTAGATCTTTTTACATCATCACTCAAACTTTTAGGTAAGGATTACAGTTCTACAAAAAGTTGAACAGGAAGGAAGTCACCAGTACTGTCCCCGGAAGTGAGATCAAGGAGCAGAGTAATTAAAGAAAGATGACTCAGTTTCAATGATTATTCTGATCTTTTTTTTTTCCAACTTGGTGAGTCATATATAATTTTATTTTATGATGACTTCTATTAACTAGAACAATAAAATATTAATAAGCATATACAATTCCATAGAATAAGTTCATCACAATGAAATGAGAAAAAAGAGACAGTTACAATATATAATGACATTTTGGATAAATATATAGTTTCTAAAAATTTTTCTGTTTAAATATGTAATTTTCTCTGTGTACAAATATCTAACCTTGGCACTGCTCTCTGTCAGTTTTCAATGAAGACTGAACTAAAAAATATGGAAGATGGTATTATCCAATTTTATTATTTAAAGAATTATTATACGATGCATGGAAAATCCTATGCACCACATAAGACTTATTGTTTCTTTGGAAAGAGAACTGAAAAACAGTAATATGTGAAAACACATTTAATAAAAGTGACACAATACCTCTGCTACAGGTTCCAAGCTCAGTATTTTATAAAGGCTGATTACTCCTGAGAGAAGCAGGAAACTGCAGAATTTCTTAAAAAATAAAAGTAGAGAATCAGATGAACTTTTAATTAATTATATAACTCCTGAAACAACAGTAAAATCCCCATAAACAATATAGTTATACTCTAGGAAAGACTGAGGGTGGTTCATGGAGGCTTTGACAGATAGGGAAAGAAAAATCAACCACTCGTTATTGGGGGATGATGATTCTTGGACACTTTAGATAGCATGCTGTTAAGCAATCAGCCTGTCTGGAATAGAATTAATATTTCTGCTCTGCTACTTACCAAATGTGGAACATTTTCAAGTTAATTGGAATTTCATATGCTTCAGTTTAGTAATGTAAAAAATGAAAATAGTAGTGAAACCTATCCCACAAAGTTATTGTAATGTTTAGATGAGTTAATAAACTAAAAATATTATCTGGAAAATAACAACCACTCAATGATTGTTAGATACTGTGACAACACCATCATCATCATCTTCATCATCATTTTAATGTTGTGGCTAATACCATTATGATCAACATTTTTCTGTTTTCTGCAACTTTCCCTTTGGGATTTCCATTTTGCTGAGACTACTTAGCTATTTCATTCTTAGTCATTATTTTCCTTTTTTATTTTTCCATGTCTTTCCTTTCTTTCTCTCTCCCTTCCTCTCTATTCTTTATAACTCTGTTTTTAAGTATAATATTTGATGCATATAAAATAATACTTATAAGAGATTATAAGGTATAATAAGTAGTCATAAATCAGGCACTCCTATATCTACCACACAGGTTAGAAAACAGAGCATTACCAGCACACCTTGGAAGCCCTGGCTTGCCTTGTCCTGGTTCCATCATCTTCTCCCTTCACTTCCCATAAATTCACTAATATAGTGAAGTTTTCATGATCACTATTTTTAAAATACATAAACATTTTTATCTCCTATGTCTGTAGTTCTAATCAATGCACATTGTTCAATATTGAATGTTTTAAAACTTTGTATAAGTAAAATTTTATTGTTTATAATCTTTCATGTCTTGTTTTCACCTCTATCTTGTGATTCCAGTATGCCAGTTTTAACTGTATATCATTCATTTTTATTGCTTTCTAGCATAAAAAGTGTACAAATTCACCACAATGCTTTTTATTAATTTTATTGCTGATAGGTCTTTGTGTAGTCCCTAATTCTATGCTGTCATCAACAGTATTTCTGTGAACATTCTTATATCTATTTGTTGGTTCACATGTTTGGGATTTCCCTTGGGATACAATCCTAAGAATGAATTGTTGGATAGTTGGGTATTCTCAACTTTACTAAATATTAATAATATTAGATTATTTTCTATGGTAATTATCATGGTCTACATCCCAACTAGCAATATAT